TAATTGATTTTACTATGCTACTTATCCCGGAATTTTACTATGTAGATCCTTTCCTTCACTGATGGAACACGAATTAATTTTTATCAATCTTATTTTTTTTTTTTGCCAAAAAAACAATGTCATCTTCAGTAGCACAACAAAAGAGAAAAGGCGAATTTGTTGTTGGAGGAAACAAGTAAATATTATTTATTAGTTAACATTAAACTCCCAATATTTTTTTTAATATTTTTTCCTGATACATAGTATTGCCAAATATCCAAATATATTACATTTAAATAAGGAGCAGGAGAGAAACACAAGTACTGATCATGTAAGAAATCACATTCATTTGAACATATTGATAATTTTTAAAAACTAACCTAAATTTTTTTTGATAGAAGATCATTGGATCTCTCACAAAAGAAATTATAACAGAACTTGGTGTAATTCGCAATTTGTCATTAGAAAAAATTGAAGAGATTATACATGAAGTTGAAACTATTTTGACCATTTGCAGATCTGGTTGAAATAGGGTTGAAATAAGGTCGAAACTGATTTTTACTATGTAGTTGCCTCAAGTCAAAACATTTTGACTTTGGGGTTTTAATTTCGACTTCATGTATAGAAGAGATCATTGAGATAGAGAAAGAAGCAATTGACTTGTTAAAAGTTTCTTTAAAAAATATATATGATATCTTCAACAGACACTTTTACAAAGAAAATGAACCAATGGAATTACCACCAAATCAATGGATTGACAAATTAAAAGAAGTTGATGACTTGACTCCTAGAAATGAAAATATTAATATGGATCTTGCTTCTAATGAAAACAGTAATGACATTTATGATGAGACTGATGGCAATAATGATATAAACAACTTATTTGGTAATACTATACATGATGATGTAGAAGAGGTAAGAATTTAACAAATGCTTTTTATTAATTTTCATTTTTGTCAACTTATGTATCTTATTTTTTTAAAAATTTTACAATGAATAAAGTGGTGAAAGTCATTCTGCTACAATTAGTTCAGATCATCATATTCCTCAGCAAAGAATTAGTAGAAAAAGAGTTAGATCTAAAGACTAGTGCTGTAATCCAAAAAGGAAAAAGTATGGTTGCAAAAGTGTTCACAAAGGTAATTGTGACCACTTTTTATATGCCATAAATACTACCATCATCATAATTTACAGCACTAGTCATGTCCTACCCTCAACTCAAGATTTCAATCTTCGCAACCAAGATTGTAAAAATTATAACATCAGATCTTTGTTAAAAAGGTATCATAGAAATAAACTTGTGAGTATCATAGAAATTTGATCTTCATATTTATACTTATGTTTTACATAAATATAATATTTCAAAATATATAGGCTCCAAGGTCAATATAACACCATCACCTTCGCAATTAGGGTTTGTATTCATGAATATCATAAGAGGGTCACACACTATTAAAATCAAGTGATCAACTCATGTTTTTTAATAGTGTGTAACCCCTTAATGATATTCATGATATTCATGAATAAAAACTCTATCTGCAATCACCAATATATTCTTCACCATCACCTCTTTCTTCATTAATATCACCTTCTCCTTCAGGAATAAATTTTTCTGACTTTTGTACTGATAATAATAATGACTTAACCTGCCTTGGATGTCTGCTCCATTGAAAATGAAAGAGATTGCTCTTGAATAATCTATTTTTTTATATCAATCATTGTTTAATGTGGTGACAATTGCTAATTAAGTAAATTGAGGCTTTGCATATTGATTTTTTAAATAGTTTTAAAATTAGTTTTCTTCATTGAAACAAGAATAATTGATTTATATATTTATGAATGAATATATATTAATATATTATAAGTTCGAGGGATGGTGTAGCATTAAAAAATATGTATAAATATAGCATTCATTCATAATAATATAAAATTATTTACATTCATTAATGTGATGACTTCTAATTTGGAATAATTATCCTTTTATATTAAATAAATATATTGTATGTAAATGTAGATGTAACAGGTTTATATCTTTTCTTGAAATTGAGCTCATCATAATGATCATATACACACTTTTATCAACATATTAATTATCACATCCTAATTCTCTTTGAACTAATAATAACAACAACTATCCACTAATACTTAACAAATAAAAATATATCTTACACACATAAAATTCACCTAATTACCCCTTCCATGTTATACCATTATAATTCACTTGCTCATAATCATTAACTGTAAACAAATATCACTTATGTTCATACTTTAATTATTTACCCAAGATTATGAGTTATATGAGAGATGTAATTGGCTAGGTCATATGGGGCATACTGTAACAAAATCGGACAAAGTGAACATTTGCATATCAAGAATTTCAATTTTGTCATCATTGTTGTATTATTACGTGTCTATTGTTTTATTTTTATTATTTTTTTTAGCAATATTTAAAAAAAACTATTTAATATATAAAAATATAAATTTGCAATTATAAATTTAATAATATAATAATAATAATTTAATTCCAATATAACTTTCCTAAAGTTTGCCATGAATTTTTTTGGCTAATTGAATATCTTTTTGCATTAATGTAATGCGTTTATCATGAATGGCGCACAAATTTCTGATTCAAATAAAAAGATGTTTTTATTAATATAAATTATAAAGATCATATATTATTTTTTGAATATTAATTTATTAAACTTATGCATCCTCGAATAAATGGACTAAATACACTTCAGTGGCTAAATAAAAAAATATTACAAGTTATTGTATTATATGTATTCACACATACATATGCAAAGATTGATTGATTAATGATATAAAATAATATTTACCTTCTTGTAATGCCAAGATAGCTGAAGACTGCCATCTAAATCCTACCTCAGAACATATCCACCGATTTCTGCAATGTTACACGATTTTAGGCTGGTTTTTAGGGCACATTTCGTTGTTTTTTTTTTGTTTTAAGGTACATTTTTGATATGTTACACCATTCTTTATCTAAAAAAAGTAATTTTTATATACTTTTGTTATTATTATGTTTGTTGAGATTCGACAGTGAATTGGATTTAATAGTGAGTGAATTGGATTTTTGTAACCCCTAGATTTATATATATTAATATGTAGTTTTTTAACTTGTAATAATATTTCTAAGATTTAAATATTTTTTTGAATTAATTTCACATTACCACATGCCTTAAATCTATTACTTATATAAAATATAGATGGCATTACAGATTACGGAATGGTGACATGTTTATTATTATGTATTAATTGTTTGAAAAAAATGATTATTAATCCGGTTAATCAGAATTAACCGATTAACGTTAATAATATTAATCAAAAAAGAATTGACCGGCTAAAAAAATATCTTAACCGGTTTACCCATTATACGTCATAATTACGTTTTGTCCATATTAATATATTAATATACATAAATCTTTACCAAACAACAAAATGTTTGCCATATTAATATTAACACTTTTAATCGTTACTTTGTTTGGATACTGGGTACTTTTTAGGTATGTTCATTTACGTCTGATTTATTTTTTTAGCAAAAATTCTTAATTTGAATGTCAATTCAGTAAGAAAATGTCGGACTCACTAAACAGATTCGATAAAGAAACACAAGAAATTATAAGTCAATGGTTTAATAACGCAAAAAATAATAATAATGACAACCTTGAAGTAGAAGATACTTATATCGATACAATGTTGCTAATAATAGAGTGGAATGATGCTGGGTTACAAAATCGAAATGTTCAAAAAACCAATGTGGTTGCTAGTATGTATGAAAATATCTTAAAAAGAAATTATTTTGTTTCATTTTTTTAACTATGTTTCAATTAGTTATTCAAGCATACAACGGCTGTCAACAAGTAAACCCTGACCGAGTATATCACGCCGGAAGCACAATTGTGCCCTCATCGCAATCCATCTTTAGTGTCTCCGATACTCGAACCCATTGCAAAATACAATTAGCTGAAGACATCGTAAGTGAACTTAGGGAGTTATATTTTCAAAGAAATCGTGCATCGTTAGGCAGAGTTT